CGTTCTAACCGCCGGTCCTGGTCCCGCCGTTCTAACCGCTGGTCCTGGTCTGGTCGTTCTAACCGCCGGTCCTGGTCCCGCCGTTCTAACCGCAGGTCCTGGTCTGGTCGTTCTAACCGCTGGTCCTGGTCTGGTCGTTCTAACCGCTGGTCCTGGTCCCGCCGTTCTAACCGCAGGTCCTGGTCTGGCCGTTCTAACCGCCGGTCCTGGTCCCGCCGTTCTAACCGCAGGTCCTGGTCTGGTCGTTCCAACCACCGGTCCTGGTCCCGCCGTTCTAACCCGCCGGTCCTTGTCCTGCCGTTCTAACCGCTGGTCCTGGTCATGCCGTTCCAACCGCTGTGTTCTTCCAGAGTCGTCCCTGCCGTGCACCGAGGAGGTCCCGCCCTGTGGGGACACCTGCGACCGCCGCCTGTCCTGTCAGAAACACACCTGTTCCATGAGGTGCCACCGGGGGAGCTGTGAGACGTGCAGACAGGTCACACACACACACACACGAACACGTGTCACACGGTGGCGTGGCACCAGTGCCGCTCTGAGACGCTCTGCTTCCCCTGCAGGAGGTGGAGAAGGAGTGCCGCTGCGGGCGCTACCGCCGCCACATGGCCTGCCATAAGGAGTACCTGTGTGACTCCAAGTGTCCCAGAACCAGGAACTGCCAGCGGCACCAGTGCAGGAGGAAGGTCGGTGGCCATCTTTGTTCGCTCTGCGGCTCCGCTGCCATCAGACCCGACTGAACGGTTTCCCATCATGCTTTGTGTCTCAGTGTTGCCCAGGTAACTGCCCCCCCTGCGATCAGATCTGCGGGCGGACGCTGGGCTGCCGGAACCACAAGTGTCCCTCCGTCTGTCACCAAGGTAACCGCTTCATGTCCTGCTCAGCGTCTATGTTCTAAAGATCTAAGCTGCTGCAGGTTCTCAGCGGTCTGGTTCTGTTCTGTCGACCCGGTCCGACCCGGTCCTCTATAAATAAAAGGAGGAAGGTCAAAGGTCAAACACGCTGTGACTGCTGCGTGTCGGCAGACGAGGCGCCGGCTGATAAGCGTCTGATTGGCTGCTCTGACCTTTCGGCGCGGCGCCGCCGGTGAGATAAGAGCCGCCGCTGCTGGGTCACAGCTCCGCTCTGATTGGAGGAGAACCTGGAGGAGGCAAACGTAGCAGGAGGGAGGCTGAGGCGTTGAAGTGAGCCGAGCAGAACCAGAACCAGCAGGCCCGGTTTATCTGAAGGAGGTGTGAGGTCCGCTAAGCCGCTGGGGGTCGGCCAGTATAGAGCTGTAGCTGATAGAAGCAGACCACCCATAAGGTTCTGATCGGTATTTCTAGGTTTAACTTATTTAAATCGTGTAGAACGGGCACAGAGAGGGAGGCGAGAAAGAAGGAGGAGATAAGAACTAAGAGAGGCAGGAAGGAGGGCATGAAAATAAAAGCAAAGAGCTAAAATAGACAGAAGATGAGCAGTAGTTCCTGGAACTCTGCTTCTACAGAGAAAAACAGACGATTAGTTCTCTCCTTAGCCTCACTATCTACCATTAACCCCATCATAGGCTCGTATCCATAGAAACGGAACCATCCAGCATCATTAAGTCTATCTATGTGTGATCTGCTGGAGTCTGAAGCAATGATTGGTTTTAACGTGTTTCCATTTTATCACTGCTTCACTTTAAAAATGGAAATAAACTGAACGAAATGTCTTTTTCTAAACACTGTGTACAAAAAGTCAGTCTAAGTTTAATCTAAGTTTAACACTCAGAATACTGATCCTACTGGAACTCCCGCTGGCCGTCCGTTTGACGTCGGGTGACATTTTCCCAGAGGAACGATGAGTAGTGATGATGTCATTCAGTGAGATGGTTCTAGTGTACCATATAAACCCATAGTGGATATATAAACCTTAAACCAGGGCTAATATGTATTTTAAAGGCTGCATTCTGTGCTATTATTTAATCTGTTTTACTGCAGAGGCTGGGAGATTAGTAAGGGGAATACAAGTGGTGAAAAAAATAAACTTTCCCAATAAAGGGTTAAAGATGGATGGAGCTTCTGCTTGATGTTCTGGCTCCGTCTGACCCGGTTCTGTCTGACCTCCCGGCCCGCTCTGACCAGGTTCTGTCTCCTGGCTCCGTCTGACCAGGTTCTGTTTGATCCGTCTGACCCGGTTCTGTCCCTGCTGTCCTCCAGGAAGCTGCTACCCGTGCCCAGAGACGGTGGAGGTCCCCTGCAGCTGCGGCTCCACGGTTCTGGTGGTTCCGTGCGGCCGAGAGAGGAGCACCAAACCCCCCCGCTGCAAGGAGCCCTGCAGGTAGACGGCGGTCCGGTTGGGTCGGTTCCTTCCAGGTGGTACCAGAACCATGACGTCCTGTCTCGTCTCCACAGGTCCCCCCCCTCCTGCCACCACCCGACCCGGGAGCCCCACCGTTGCCACCCGGGCCCCTGCCCCCCCTGCAAGCAGCTCTGCTCGCTGCCTCTTCCCGCCTGCAGCCACACCTGTCCTCAGCCCTGCCACGACCTGGTTCTGGTCCGGTCCCAGCAGGTCCGTACCCGACCCAGAACCGGTAGAACTCCTCTGGCCGTGAAGGCGGCGTTTCCTGTTTCCCACCAGAGCAGGTTCTGATCCGGCTATGTTTGTGTTCAGGTCCAGCTGGCCGGTCCGTGGGAGCAGCCATCAGAACCGGCGTTTGTGAAGAAGGCTCTGCCGTGTCCGCCCTGCCAGGTCCCCATCCCCACGTAAGTCCAGCTCCGGTTCTGTCGCCGCCTTCGGGTCTCTGGGGCGGGTTCTGCAGAACCTCGACCCAAACCCTGATCATCAAGGTGGAGCAGAACCTCCTGCTTGGGTCCTTCTGCTCCTTTAAGCTAGCATTGGGTCGGTACCGGTTCTGCTGAGGTTCCTGTTCAGAGCTGACAGGTTTCAGGATGCTGTTACCATGGTTACAGCAGCCCCTTTCATCCCAGAGAAAGTACCGGAATTTCTGAGGGTCCAGAACAGTCAATCATCAGCATAGAGGGAGCTGGTTCTGGTTCAGCTGCTGGGAACCGGGTCCAGAACCAGCAGAACCTGGGCTCATGTGGTGCCGGGAATGGAAGATATGGTCGGTATGTTTCCATGACAGCGACAGCAGCAGATGTGTTCAGATTCCAGTCTGAGGCGTGACCCGCAGGCCGCGGCCAGAAACAGCTGAACCAGCGCCGTAACGGACCGCTCCGGGCCCGACCCGGCCCCAAGAATGCAGAGGTTATTTCTGACAGATCAACGCCTCGATTTAGAACCGCCTGGAGATCCGGTTAGAGACCGGTTCTGAACCCACAGACGCCAGAACAGAGACAGACCGCCTGGTTCTGGACCCACAGCCTCCAGAACAGAGACGGACCGTCTGGTTCTGGACCCCTCCTTCCTGGTTCTGGGAGGCGCCAGCTGGGATCAGAACCAGCAGCCCAGAGAGCAACAACAAGCAGAGGTCCCACTGGGCGGTTCTGACGGGCCGCGGTTCCGTCCCGCGTCATTAGAGCTGAGATGTTAACATCGG